GACGCGTTTACGATTGTGTTGGGCACCTTTCGCCCATCTCACGCACACGCATTTACGTCCGCGTGGCGTCCGTACTGCTTATTTACTTCCACGGAACTGGGTCATGAGGTATTATCTTCCGGGTTCTCATCATCAGCCGTTTCCAGTTGTCATTCCAGCTTGGTGCTGATATTGTGCAGCCGATTTATAGGGTTTTTAGTCATGAGGTAGCGCGATAAAAAGATACTTAGGTTTTAGTTGTAAACACGAACAGAAAGAAAGATTGCTATCTCTCGGATTGATTATAAAAAATTGCACATTGCGTAACATTTTATCCCTCTGCGAACTTGATGTCATGATGGGAAACATCCAGACGGATTATACCCTTCCACAGCAAAACGTTAATAATTAATATTTTTCGTTCATTAGCGTTTACGGGCGCGTCGACTGCGGTGGTCATTTTGCGCCCAATATAATAAGTCTCTGATTACGGAGCGAGCGAAGCGAGCGAAGTCTTTCCTTAGATTAACGGAAATTTCTGAGTATGAGCGGCCGGCCGGCCGGCCGGCCGTGCGGACGCTTTTGCGAGGCTTATATATCTCAGCAACCACTTGACCGATTTACACGCGGTAATTTTTGTAGGGTAGCTTCATTCCTTCTACCAAGTATTGGACTATTCCCGATGCATATAGGTGACCCCTTATGCACGTGCCACGTGCAAAACGAAGAGGTGTCAGTTTTGTAATTGTTGCAATATATTGGTAACTACTTGGCCGATTGCGCTGAAAGTTGGCATGTAGGTAGGCACCCACTAGGCACTGCATATCCATGTGCCAGAGTTGGGGTGCTGCTGCACGTGCGCACGTGCAGGGGTCGTTTCCAGATCTCGAGAACTTCTGGACCGATGGCGCTCAAATTTGGTACACGGTTAGGGACCAGTTAGTAGGGTGCCGTGCACAAGTCAGTTGGGACCCATTTTGCACGTGCGCACGTGCAGGGTGCCGCTCCCAGATCTCGAGAACGGCTGGGCCGAGTGTGCTCAAATTTGACACATCGCTAGAAACCGGTCAGTAGGGTGCCGTGCACAAGTCAGTTGGAGGTACCCCCTCGAAATTTCGCACGTGCAAGACTCACCCCCTCGCTCGCTCCGTTAGTCGCCCCAAAAGGCGCTATACTGGTAAAGATATTTATTCTTATTCGGCGTTTCCTTATCCACTGCTCCTCCGCCCTCGGTCCTGACAGCTAATCCCGCGCTATTTTTAGTTCCCAACGCACCGGTGAGTGTGCGTGCTCGCTTGTCGTATAACTGCAGGGAAGTACAGGGTGTCCCATAAGTTCGTTCTCACCTAAATTTTACGTTTTTAGGCTCTCTTGCTTAAAGGCACGCTGAAATTGGTTCGTAACTGAGCTTACGTGGTTGCCATGGCTGGTAGAAATATGCTCCACAGTAGCTAATTTCTGTAGACAAAATAGTTTTTGCTAAAGAGCCCGCTTCCTACAGAGACGGCTAACGCCGCAACATAGAGGTCTCCGATACGGGTAAGTCTCAGTATTTAGTCAGCACGTGACCATTCGCGACGATTGAGTGTGATTGAGGCCTACCAGTCTGTAGCAAATGTCCATCGCTAACTGGACGCCCAGTCAGCAAGTGACGCCGATGATTTGTCGGGAGTCAATCACTGCAAGTTTATCCTCTTTCCAGTCAGCCCTCAGGAGTCAGCCAAGTGGCCAAAACTGTGTGGCGCCAAAGTGGCCATCAAAAAGGTTAAAGGGTTAGAAAGCTAGTGATCAGACTTTTCAGGATGGATTACCAGCTGTTGAAGAGTGTTCTTTCGGGGTACATAACTCAAGGTGACTTAAGCTTTGCTTACCGGAGGGCACAAAACAGTCAAAAACGTCTTAAAATGGCCAAACATGAGTTTCGTTATGCCTGCCTGAGGTTAAACAAAACGAGGGCTGAGGACATCAACCAGGTCATCTGGACTAACTAGTCCACGTTCGAGATGAAACACCCGTCCAAACCCGAAAACAACCCCATAAGGGCGAAGGAGGAGGCCTCCGTTTCGTCCCGTTATGTTCCTATGCAAAAGGCCAGGGTCACTGTGTTGTGGGGTTATAGGCGTTCTGGAGTTGACAAAGTTGCAAGTGGCAACCCAGAAACAGTTTTGGGAAGCAGAATGCTTTTCCAAGAACATCTAGGAGGAGTTTCAGCCCTCAAGCTGAACTCGAACCGCGAGTATGAACACATTTATAGAGGAGAAAATGGCATCCGGGAGGTCGTAGGCCCATCTTCAGGCAAGACAGTGCATCAGTGCACAGGTCAAGCAAAGCTTAAAAGTGGTGCAAGGAGACTGTGACAGGCGTTTGTGGCAAGATCACATGCCAGGCACCTCATCGGATCAAAATTTCATAAAAATTTGTTGGTTATGCTGAAATTGAGGCTCGTCGAAGCGTAGCGCTGTTTCAGCCTCGAGGAGCTCAGGGCGCATGTCAAGTCAGTCTGGGTTAACTTTAAGCCTGCTATGCAGCCAAACATGCCGGTTGGCATGCCGCAGCATGTATTCATGTGTTTGCCTATTAAATGGGGAGCACATTGAGGGGTCATAAATATATCAAAACGCAATGTACTCTGTTTCACATGCAAACATAATGTGAGAACGAACTTATGGGACACCCTGTAAGTCTTCAGCGGTCCCCGAAGGCCGTCCTTGCTAAAACCGACCCCTTGCACTCGTAGTGGTGTTCTCACTTGTCTGGATCCGTTCCTTGGCCAGACCATTAGATTATGTTGAATTGAAAATTGCGCCAGCTGGCTCTATGTATATGAATGCAAATGTGGCGCATTACTCGGTCGTTGGTGAAGATGTGTGAATAGCCAAAGCAGTCCATGGATATGGATATAGGATATATGGATGTCCCGAAATTTCTTCCCGAAATGTCGTCCCGAAATGTCTGCAGACATTTCGATTTGAGTGGAGATGCGTAATGTAGTCGTAATTCAACACTGTAAGCAGTTGTTCCTGAATTTATAGCACGAACGTGCACTGAAGTCGCGTTTTCTGCTAAATACCTATAAAAACAGTCATTGCACATCGCGGAACAATTAATTATGCGAAAAATGACCAATTAGAGTGGCGATGCAATGACGAATATACACAAACTCAAATTCGAGCAAGAACTCAGGCCTGGTGACACTCATCTTGTTCTCTTTACAGTTCTCAGCGACTGGTATTTCGGACGGTATACTATACTTTATGGGATAAGAAGCGGCTGGCGCCATTTGCGCGGTGCTTTCCATAAACACTGCAAAGCATCAAACATTTCCAGGCTCCATGAGATTATGTAACCGACCCCCTTTTTGCTCATGGCTCTCTTGCTGGCATACGAACTAACTAGCATCCGCCGGCTTTGTTAACATTGCATAATGTTGCATAGATTAAGACTTTTGGTCTATGAACAATCGGTTAGTTTTGTGGGTAGAGGAGGTTTGCATTCAAATTTATGGAGGATTGGAGGTGCAGTCATGGGGATCCGACTGTTACGAACACGATAGCTCACCTCACGTCAGCTCCTGTCGTCAGTAGCACCTGCATGCATACCCAGGAATAATGTCGCTAGTTCCAATATCGTTAATCAACATATAATCAACATATAAGTTGTATGACATCATGCAAGGGATGCGGTGGGTGCGTTACTTCATAGGCGAGTTTTGACAAAGCTGAGATGAAGGAGAAACATTCAATGGTGCTCTCTCTAAATTATACCTCATCATTCTTTCCCGAGAATATCAATGTTCCGTATTTACGTTTAGATTAATGACATTAAACAATTAACCGATGCTGTTTAAGACGTTTTGCTATGGACCCAATGACCCGACCCGATGCCTACTTATGCCACTTACAACGCAAATGAGCGAGCACTTATTTTGGTATGGACGTGTCCGACCTTCGCTAATCGTGTTATCCGGTCCGTGCAGCCGGCCTCCTGTTCCACTTCCTTCTGCAGCCGTCACAACTCAGCGCATATGCGAGTGTGCAGCGCTAAGCTACGCTTACAACCGCATGTACTCAGCGGCCTTGGTCACTATTCGCGTCCATTCAACGAGGAACTGACCTTCAGCCTCAGTACGCAATACGCAGGGGGTGCTGGCGTGCTATTCTGTCGGACATATTAACACGCTTGACTGCGGGACCGTCGGGACATTTGCGTCGTCTTCCTCCTGTCTTTGCCGGTCTGTGACTGCAGAAGTGGGTCCCGTGATCCACTGCAGCGTTTTAGTGCGGTATTCGTCACTTCCCGACCTTGCTGCGTGCCGTGGATGGCAGCTGGCAGACAGCAGGCAGTGCAGCTATGTGGGAATGTGGAAGGGGCAGGGCTGGGAGGGACGGCAGCGGCGAGGCTTTTCTCCAGAATGAAACTGTAGAGTGCAGTGGGACTGATACAATAGAATAAGAAAACAACCATAAGATTATCATTAGTGCCACTGCCGGCATTTGGTTTAAGACTGTAAATATTATCACCTCATAAGGACAATGGACGGCTGTATTGACCGGAGCAGACCGGACTGTTATTCTGTCTGCGTCTGTGTCTGATTCCAGGTGTGTCTGTTAAGATCGGAGAGCTGCGGCCGTGTATTTGTATCTGTCTTGCTATCTGCTCCAGGTGTCTCTGCTGTGGCTGTGTCTGTCTGTCTGTCTGTCTCTGTGTCTGACTGGCTATCTCTCCATTCCAGGTGTGTCTGTTTCCGGCTGTCAGTCTCTATGTCTGTCTGACCGTCTGTCTTTCCATTCCAGGTGTGTCTGTGAAGGTGGGGGATCTGCGGCTGTGTGTGTCTGTTTCCGGCTGTGTGTGTCTGTTTCTGGCTGTCTGTCTCTGTGTCTGACTGTGTGTCTATCTCTCCATTCCAGGTGTGTCTGTGAAGGTGGGGGAGCTGCGGCTGTGTTGTCTGTTTCTGGCTGTCTGTCTCTGTGTCTGTCTGACTGTTGTCTTTGTGTCTGACTGTGTCTCTCTCTCCATTCCAGGTGTGTCTGTGAAGGTCGGGGAGCTGCGGCCGCGGCCCGAGTTGGCCGACAAGGCGGACAGCTCGGCTGTGCCGTGCGTGTTCGCTCCCGACGACAGCCGCGTGGCCTGGTCCTGCGGAGACCGCAAGGTGGTCATCCTGCCCTGGAACAAGCACAAAAACTGCCTGTGAGTACCGATGGGCCGTGGGTCATACTACATTGTGTGTTGTTGATGGGTAGTGGTTAGTTTGGTGAGAAGTGCGACTCACACTTCAACTGCTCCCCATTACACGTAACGGTTACGGAAGTGTAGCCAACTGCGTATTTCGCACGCACTCGTTGCGTAAAACCGCGGCCGGGAGGGGAGAAGGGGCGAGTGACCTTGTGTGTGTGTGGGGGGGGGCTGTGGAGGGGGTCCGCGTCACAGGGGGTGTAAGATTCACGAGCGCTTGTCGACGGAGCGGGGAGGGTTCCGGCCTTTTTCTCCACGTTCCACGCGCAGTTGACAGCTGGCATGCCGCTAGTATCTGGGACACCTATGGCTGTCGTCCAACAGTGCACAGTGCGCAGTGGACAGGGATCTGCCGGAAAAGTATATGCAGGGATAAGTGGGGCGTTTTGGATTGTGTGCAATAGACCATAGCAGAACAATGCCTTCCGTAAATGTAGCAAAGCATTCAAAGCAGCTGCTAAAAGGCGCACTGCACCAGACTGGGGCCTGTCGAACTTACTAAAAACCTGGCTACAACACCGATATATTCACTGTGACTTGCGGAACAATAGCCAAACACCTATCTATTAATTGTAGACTGTAGTGTGTATACTGTATAATGTATACCATATATCACTATATAAACTGGTCTATGTGAAGGTAAATGTATCCCTTTCCACATTGGAAAGCTTCTGTTGCCGGAACACGAACGAACGAGCCACGAGGTACCCCGTTGCCATGCGTTCCAGTGGCGTGTTGTCTGTGGTCCATTGTGAAGGTTTTTTTGTCGTTTCGTCCTTGGTAGCCCCAGACTCCGGGTCAATAGCGCCGGTCATTGACTGCCGTTGGCCAGGCTCGGACCTAGGGCTCTTCGTGTCCAGGCAATGAGGCATGCGGCTTGCACAGCTAATTTGCACTACTTTGTGGCTGTTTTTTTTTAGTAGGCCACTAATCAATAGCAAGTTCCAAAGGTTACTTGCTGAGCCACCATTGCGCAGCTCCTTTGGCTACTGCCCATTAGTGGTCTGATTCGGTCCGTTTTCTGGCTCCGCCTCTGTCGCCGCGTCCCGGTCAATAAGGGTTTCGGTTACATGGCTGGCCTGTCTGCTTTGACCTTTCCTGTGCTGCGCCATCGCGCCACCAGGTGATAAAAAACGCCACAAAAAGTGGTCCAAGTGGCGCGTGCCAGATCCCAACCGGATCAGGCCTTCTCATCTACAAATTATTTCGTTATTTATTTGTTTACTGACTTGGCTCACGTGGGCTCCAACGTGACCTGACGGCCGCGGCAGCAGCTAGCGGTGTGCTCTGGTGGTAGCTGACGTTTCGGGTCTGCCTGCCAGGAATCCCAAACGTCAGGATGCGCCTCTATGCGTGTCAGCGAGTGAGGTGCAGACTGGCCCTGATTTCCTGAACGTGCGTTATAATTTTTTTCCAATGGCTGTAGTCTATATCGTCCGTGTTCCAGATAACGGCGAATTTCTTATATAAAATAAAGTCTTTGAGATAAATTCGCGAATGAGGATGATAAAGTAATGGCCATTGTACATTATTCGAGTTGTTGATTCTTTGTCAGAGAAAGCTCATTAATTCGTTGTGCACCTTGTCATCGTTTACAGTTCAACGGATGGTTTCTTGCAGCCGTCCTTAATTGGTATGCCGTGAGACTCGGGTTGCGACTTGCGATTCGTTTCTGATGCAACACCGAAGAGGGAGTAGCCGTTACTCGGTAGTCTTGTAGACTCTAGGTTCATTAGAAATACTGAGAAAACATGATGCCATGGTAGCATGATGAAACTGCATTGCGTTGTTCGTGCGGACTACAATAACGATAAATCCTACCTCAGGCCTCTCCAGTTATTGGTTATAGGTATGACAGTGGAGGTCACATGTGATCCCAAATGTATTTACGCTTTTAAATGTAAATAAATTTGCAGCTAAATTACAGTTATCTTCTTCGCCCTTATCCCGCGTACCGACGGGGGTCTGCGCCAACTTAGTACCGACGGGGGGGGGGGCGGATGACCGCCCCCCCCCCTGAGATCTCGAGAACGAAGCAAGATATCGACAAGCGGTAAACGGCATCGGATACGCACTGTCAAGATCTACAATTTTTACTAAGGTCATTTTCAGGTCAGGTCAAAGATGACGTCACAGGGGTCGAAAAAGTCAAAATGGCGGCGCTGAATATGGAGAGAGTTTTTCTCGAATAACTTTCGAATTAGTCAAGATAGGAACAAACTAAGGGCATCATCGTGATCCTCTCGTCAATCCGCATCGAATGATATATATATGTTGACCTCGAAAGGTCAAGGTCAAAGGTTGACCTCAGGTCACGTGACCTCGAGGTCATCATGTATATCATTCGATGCGTCTTGACGAGCTGAACACAATGAGACCATCCACGCGTCTGTATCTTGTTCCTGTACGGAGTTATTGGCCAAAAACCTTTGGTGACCTTTGATGACGTCACATGACCTCACAGCTGCCCAACAGCAAAACAGACCTCAAGGTAGTGAAGGTTGATCGTATATGAAGTCATGTATGGTATATGGGGCCATTCCGACCCGTTTTAGTGGTAAAAACAGGGAGCTGATTTTTCCCCCATTGACTTAAAATGGGGAGGTCGCGAAATTGACCTGACCTTAGGTCACCGATATCAAAATTCCGAGATATACAAATTGTAGCTACTAATGACCTAATAACATCCTGCGACTTTCAAAGGCCTCCGACATCTACTGTAGCTCTGGCACGGTGACAAAGTTGCAAAAAAGTGACTTGAGGTTGGGTCATTGAAAGTGACCTGGTGACCTGACCTTGAAAGGTAGGAAGTTCAAACTTGCACACCATGTGTAAAATTGATAAGGGAATAGTCATACCAAATTTCGCGGCGCTACGCGCCGCGGTTTTCCCGCTATTCGCGAAAAACCTCAGGGGGGGGGGGCGGATATCCGCCCCCCCCGTCGGTGCGCGGGTCGTTTTTATTCCTTATCGCAACTGGATTTACCTCCATGTCGCATTCTCTTCTTTCAATAAAATTCAACATGCTAAGGACAAAATTTCTCCTTTTTACGATCCAAACACTTTGCAAACTCAGTCTGACCCCGTGTCTAATCTGACCTCATGTGACCCTATGTGTCCCGACCCCCTCTGACCCCGTGTTCCGCCGTGTTGCAGTGTGCGGGACAACTGCCGCGATGCGGACGGCAGCCAGCTCTGTGACCAGGAGGTGGTCCTCTCCACGGGCCTGGAGGTGTGCGCCATGGCCTTCTGGCTGGGCCTCCGTCAGCCCACCGACGGACGGCGCGGCTCCTGGAAAAGGTCAGTGGTGATGGGAGTGAGGGGGGGGACGGGGAATGGAGAAGCTGGGAGAGGCGAGACAACGGCTAGTGCCTGAGACTACAAAGTCATTAGTGCTGGCTGTTTTAACACTACTATAGCCAGGAGAATAATAGAGAAGGATAAGGCAAGAGAGAGTTTATAACTGAAAGGCTGGAAATGAGAGGGATCCCAAGAATACTCATCGTGAAAAGCGGGAAAAGGTGAGCTGTCATCAATAGTTGAATGTGTCTTCAGTCTCTCGTATCATCATCTACACAGGAACCCGGAGTAGCGCGAAACCGTAACAATTAAACGATATTCGCTATCAATATCCTGTGACGTGGAACGCTTACAGATCCTATCAGCTGATGTAATGTCCGTTCCCGTACTGTAATTGATTAGCCGTCATCAGTTATCGGACAGGTGTCAAATAACGTCACTGACGTCACATGTATCACTGCTGTGACGCACGGTGTTACCGGTCGACATTGTATGCTTGTCGGCCCAGCGAATAATTGTGTGCGTAATTGCAGTAAGCATACGTTACACGAGTCGCTGAGCGTAAAGAGGTACTGAATTAGTCATTATTACGGAGCGCACGGCACTGGCTTGCAAAGATGCAGAGTTATTCTCCACAGTCTGTGCAGACTAGGTCGTCCCAGGTCCGCACGTGTCGACACATACCATACAGTACAACGTCGCAGTACCTATTTACCTACATTCCTCGCCTTACCCAGAACGCCCAGTTAACTCGGTATCACAAATGTATCAGTAAATAAGCGTTCGGGTTACCAATGATGACGCACGGCCCGGCGCTCTGACAGTCGTCAACGACACATGGCACTGTTGATTCAAACTGCGGTGAACCGAGCTACCGCGGCCGGGGAGATGGCCATAACATGCTGGGGATGCTGGGGCCGGCAGGGAGGGGAGCGGGCTTATCGCGCGATGGGCTGATGTTACCGGGCTCGCGCCTGGTGTCATGGGCCGGTGCCCCTCACCCTGCCCCCCCCCCCGCCCCCTGCCGTACCGCTTCATACCGCCCGGCACCAGTGCAGTGGCCTGACTGTGGTATGTCCGTCTCCGTAAACAGTCAACACGCCGGGCTGACGCTCCAGTTCGCTGTGGCGTGCGGCATGCATATCTGTGTTCTGACGAGGGGCTGAGTGGTGCTCTAAGGAGGGTTGCGAACATATCGATGTTATAACCAGGTTTATGGTGCTCTGACGCACTCACACCAAGGCCGAGGACAGCTCGGACGTCAGAGATCGTGTCTGCATCACGGATGGGGTAGACGAGGGCTGGCATTACGTTGTATCACGTGTTGCCATTAAACACACCCTAATTGATATTAAGTGTGTTTATAGTCCGTCCTCTGAGCAAAATTATGGCCGATGTGAGCAAGATTGCTTGCTGTGAATGCAGATAGAACCAATTCTTTTACACCAACCTTAATTTTTCAGAATGTTCTTACGTAGGTACTCGCATAGCTAATGGCGGAAAACTTACTGCGCTGCATTCAAATAACTCTTCATCGAAACACTATACTCGTAACCGCTGATCGTTTCCCATCAATAAGTCGTTTCATTAATGACATTTCTGCTGAACTCGACTGCGCAATATGCATTCGCTGTCGTAGTAAAGGAAGCGATTTAGAGGCGTCGGCCCCACTCGATTGCATGTCATTGAAGCAATCGGTTTAGTTCGGTCCATCAGCATCATCATTTGACAGGCGCTTAGATGCGCAACTAATATGACGTGTCTCGCTGATTTATTGAAAGCGGATTCTATTGCTCCCCTGAGTAGGAAGTGCGGTTGCCAGGTCAATTCGACCATAGCTAAGTTACTACCATATGGCGTAACGCTTCTTTATGAATGATTGGTGTTCATTTTTCAGCATTTATCAGTCCTGCAAACGTTACAAACATTACCTTATGACAAACGTTACATCAGGGGCGTCGCCACGGATTTTTGAGTGGGGGGGGGGGGTCGGGTTTCCGGTCTTCGTCTTGATGGGTAGGGGTGTTTTTAGCCAAGCTCCCGGTTTTTTCGTGTGCCCGGAGAAGAACCTCGGCGCGCAGCGCCGCGAAAGCAGCGGTATATCTTATTGTACATCAATTTTGCATCGTGCATAAAAATCAAGCAGAGGTCACCTGAGGTCAGGTCACAATGTCATGTCAAGTTCAGTTTTAATGCCTCTTTAAACTGCAATCTTGTCATTCCTATAGATTATCTCCTGACTCCTATAAGTCTGAAATTTGGTGTAATGAACGGGATTACATATAAGTGCCAACAGTTCATGAATCTGGGATTTTACATCTGAGAAGCGAAGTCAGGTCAAATAGGTGTGTGACCTCACCAATCATGATAACATATGGGAAAAAGCACGATGTCCTCTCCTTTGAAAGAATATGCTAAAAACGCTAGATACTTTTGTAGCCATTGGCACCTTGTTCATTTTAGAGATAAGGTGCAGCTAATGACCAGTGGTGACTGAAATGGTCAGTCATTAGGTCATCAAAGGTCTCTAACAATTTTCGACAACAACTTTTGATGGAGACGTTGTACAGCGATGACAGCACCTGGAGTGTGTTCAGCTCAGTAACACAGATCGATCCATATGCAGCAGGTTCTTTTCCGGTCAGGTCATGACCTTTACCTGATGTCAAGTTTTCTATTCAAGTTTTTAAGTTCAAATTGTAAGCCATGCGACGTGTTTCGACGAAACAAAAACGATGGTGATAACAGATACAGATACAGATGTGTATTCATCTAGGATCCACAATAAAAGTGGCTTTTCACCAGACACGTAAAACCAGATAAAACGAGGAACATACAGACAGTACGAGTAGGCATAGATATCACTGGCAAACACAAACAAGCGTGCGACTGGAACAGGTTCAGACAGCTACTCGGCGTCTCGACATGATCACACGCTTCACATTGGCGCGAAACGCTGGTATATACGGGCTCAACTCGGCACCGTTTAACATCGCGACTCCTCTAATACATAGTCGACGTCTCCCCGTCTCTGTTCGGGCCCGTGGCTGTGTTATCAGCCCTGCGTTTCGGGTGTTGTGGTCGTGTATGTCGCGGGCTACAGGACCGATGGTATCACTGATATGTTCAGGAGTACCCGATGTGATGGCTCGGTGGACTGCGCAGATAGTGTGGTACTCGGCTAATTCGTCTGCCCGCAGCCAGCCGAGCTGCTGTATGACGTCAGAGATGTGGTCGCTGCGTCTACGACCACTGACGACTCTGGCACAGAAATTGAGAATTTTCTGGACACGAGCCATCTGGGTATGGCGTAACGTGGGCTAGAACATGAATATCATACACATTCACTGAATCATAGGTTGTTACAGAACAAATGTTTCGGCAAAATCCGTCCGTTTAGCTGTTTGGACTCTATGGTACACGAGCCATAGACCCGAAGTCATATCTGAGGCGAAGTTGGCGAAAGAGCTTTAAAAAGCTATCGAATACGCTTTCTGTGTTGCTGTAGCTCTTATTCGTATTTTGCGGGTCGCTAAGGTAAAACGTTTACCAACGTAACGCATAAGGCGTGCTTTCGGCCCCTGATCGAGGTAGAGTTTCGCGGAAGAGCGAAAATGCTGCCTGTGATGAGAGAAAGCCGATGATGCCCAATTTCAAGGTCTTGGCCGGGTCATCTTAGGTCAACGCCCAAAAGTAGGAAAAATCTGTCCGCCTGCTAGGACTTAGTGAGCCGTAGCTGTTATCGGGGTCCCGAGTACGAGTTCGATGTTAGTCTTGAACAAAGATGATGACTCCATGCATTTTGGGTAGATCGGGTCGGGTCAGGTCAGGTCGATCAGCAGGCTTCCTGCCGGCCATCTAGAGTGGGTGACTGACAACCACCAACGATAGCTTCGTAACATGTTACATAACCATCATTTATCAAAACTACTTCAAACGGTTCGAACGGGCGCTAAACTCGAAATCAGCCCCAAAAACCACACTTGTAAGTGGAAGCAAATAAAACTCAAAAAAGTTAACCAAGGTCATCCATATTCGAATCAGGGCCAATTTTTTTTTAGAATAGGTGTAAAATTCATTAACTCGAGGTCACTGGAAGTTTCGTTGCAATATACTCCTTTTTGCGCGTCTTATTAGGAAAGCCCCAGAGGGATCCACCATCTGACCCCATTTCCCCTCTGCAGGCAGGTCCGAGGGTAGCAGGGCTGAGGCTAGCCAGGTACCTCGTAGTTACTGATACGTCATCCGACGAATCGACTGCAACCATTATTTTGACAATCAGACGAACGCTTGGGTCAGTTTTGACGCGCTCGCTCATTTGAGGGATAAAAAGGGACTAAAATCATATTGTCATGCTGATGTTCTAGCCCACAGCTTATTGACCTATAAGCAATAGGGACTATAGGGAGCTCTAATCTGACGTTGTATTTGTTGATGTTGCTGACGCCAACTTCCCTGACATGATCGCTAAAAAAAGCATATTCAACATCGCCAAAAGTGGGGGGGTTGACCCCCCCGGTTCTGACGAGTGGGGGGGTCGTGACCCCCCCCCCCCCCCGACCCCCCCGTCGGCGACGCCCCTGCGTTACATAATGAGAAATCAAGCGTTGCAGATCCTCTCTGGCGGACATTGGCCGTGCCGCCCACTGACTCGTGCGATTCGGGCCTCTTGCACAGGGCGGACCAAACGCTGATCCCATCTCGCACGCTGCCGTCACTGGGGCTCGGGCGCGTGGTCCTGCGCATGGACCGAGCACGACAGGACTGAGATTGTTGAAGGGGGGCTGCAGGCTGCATGCTATTTCGAACGCAGGTTGTGCGGTGCTGGTCTTCGTATATAGTGATAACTGAGGCTCTGTGTTGTGGATTGGTGGGATGACCTCATGTTGATGTGAGGTTTGCACACCGCTCCAGGATAAGCGGATATTAGCGAACGTGGTTAACCAGAAATTAATTAAGACCCAGAAGGTGCACAGAAGGCGTATCCAAGATCGAGAGATATAAAGAGAGTTATTTGTGTCAACCAGGGATGCGGAGCCGGAGCCGGAGCCGGAGCCGTGAAACAATATAGCCCGGAGTCGGAGCCGGAGCCGTCAAAAAAGGGGGCGACTCCGGCTCCTTTTCTTAAGAGGAAACAATTATTTACCTAGTTCGGTTTGACAGTACAAGGCGTAAAACAATGTGGTATTCAAAATAGCCTTGTTATACAAATACAGAAGCAACGTGTACCAATCCCATCGCCTTTTTTCTTCCACCCGTATTTAATTGATCGCATAGGGGATGTACTGAGTAGAAGCCGGAGCCGGAGCCGCCGGAGCCGGATCATTTTACTCGGAGCCGGAGCCGAAGCCGGAGCCGCCATGACATTTCACCCGGAGCCGGAGCCGGAGCCGGAGCCGATTTTTTCTTCGGAGCCGGAGCCGTCTGAAATTTCCACGGCTCCGAATCCCTGGTGTCAACCTAACAAAAGTGCAGGAAGGTTCGAGATTCGAGCAGGATATCCTCCAACTGCAGAGTGTTTGCAACTTACATAACCCGACGCTTTAATGATAAATAATCCATGCGGATCATGAACGTTTCATGCTTAAACGGGCCACTGCAGAACTCTCCAGAGTGGGGTGTCTGTGGGCCGGCGCTGCGCTCGTCCACGAATTTGGCCCAAGCGGTGACAATATGGCAATGGCGGTGGCGGAGAGGCACGCTGTCATTTCGATAATACCCCAGACAGGCTCGTAACCGGCGCAGCGGCGTTACCGAAAGCGCCGTGCAGAAGAAATACGGTCCGCAAATATGCGGCACGGCGGCTGGAGAGCCGGGTAGTCATCTTATCAGTCTGACATTCTGCGGCGCTGTTTCATATGGTTGAATGGAAATAGTAGTAGACGCGGGACAACGGCTAAAAGTTACAAAAGCGTGCTAAAAGACGGCAATGTTGCGAGCAAGCAGACCGACAAACTCAGTCAGACAGACAGCCAGAGCCTTGAGTTTTATTGTCTCTTGCACCCTCCCGTTACGGCCTTGCATGATAACCATGACTTGATGAGTTCCATGCACGATTTGCCCGCGGTTATGTGTTCACTCGTTCTGGCTAACGTTGGGACCGACGCTAGCCTGAGGCGCTGGACTCTCGGAACTGACCCCGTGGGTGCTGGTAGCTGGAACGTCCGGTGGGTGTGTGATGACGCAGTCGTGAATAGGGGGGTGTGTCCCGTCTGGACTGAACGGGCCTTTGATCGTGTGACCCGTGGTGGAGGCGCGCCTAGTCAGCACTTTTAGGTCTCTCATGTATCGAAGTTTGAAGTCAAACATGTCTGGCAAAGGGTCTTACTATATGTCATAATACTTTTCTGACTTTGTTTTTATTTGTCAAAAACCTCATCTCTTATGCGTAGGGATAATCGGGCTCGGCGAACCCGAAATGGCGTGTTAGGAAGTTCGTGAAGTGAGTTAGCCAAGTAAACGTTGCTACCAACGTCTCTTTCTTATTTTTCCTAGTACAGTGCAACTGTTATTTTTACTCCTAGTAATGCGCAGTGTTATATGCAAACCTCCTGCCTGGTTTACTTACATCTCCTAAACATCGTGCAATTGCCGCGAGTTCATCTCATGCAAGTACTCGGGCGGTCTGCGTCGTAGACCCATGGCGCCTCGTTGCAGGGGCCGGGCCGCCGCTCGCGGGGCCGCGCGGCGGAGCGGTCGGCTTACGTCAGGCTCTGGCGAGTGACGCCGGCGCCGGCGCCGGTTGGGTCCGCGTGACCCCGGCTGCCGTATATCCCGCTCGCTGGCAGGATGCCAAACTCGCCACCCGAGCTGGGGCAGGGAATGGCTCTGTCCACGGTCCATCAATCTGCATTCTGCCGCGTGGGTTAGGAACTGAGGAGCCTCTTGTCTAATTTCACTTGTGTTCCCAGCGCCTAGTATTGAATGTTTATATCCTGTCTTTTGTGCGTTTTTTCCGCATTTACATTCAATACTGATTTGTTACATAGCACATTCGTCCACCCGAATGTGCTATGTAACCCGTCTCAATTTACTGATTTGTTATATTTTGATGCCTGTATGCACTATGTAGGCAGCGAGCTAGGCTGATGCCTGAAAGCTTTCTTCGATTTTGACCTGCCGTGGCAGCACCCTTGAACTCGGCGGCCGGCGCACTCGACTCCAGCCACCCGGCCGCTGCCTCAATGTTGATGTTGACCGGGGGGCCGCCGGGTGCCGACCAAGGCCACGGGGCCCGTCGCTGTCGTTAGGGGAGATGCCTATTCGAGGTGCGCAGCGAACACCGCAGTTAGGCCGGGGGTGTGTCGAGGGAGCTAGGGCCCCGCGGACCATTGTTGATGTTTATCGGAGACTTTGAGCGACGATCATACGAGCGCGGTGCGGAGGTGATGGATTGTCTCGGCCCCGGGCGGCCGGGCCTTCTCAGGGAACGGGCTGTGGAGCCTGCTGTGCACAGGGAACGGTAAACAGTGCACAGAAAGCGTCACACGGTGCACCGCGCTGCCTGTGGGGTGAGAAAGGCGAACGCCCCTACGGAGCCTCCTTTTGTCCCCCACATCAGCCCACTTTGACCGAGCCTTACAGATACTAGCTGACTGCATCTCGGGCTTTGCATATTGCATAAGGTCCTAGCGCATCCCGTCTGTATCACAGACGGGATCTGTTCATGTCCGGAGTAGCGCCACCTGGCGTGCGGCCGGGTCGGTGGCGCCGGCTCAGCCACACGCGCCTGAGGCCAGCCACCTCCTGACTGGGCCAGCCAAGGTCGGTCGTCCGCCGCCGCCGCCGCCGCCACCGTCTGTCTACCTGTCTGGGAAGGCCCGCCGCGGCTGAAGGCCCGCCGCTGTTTGGTTCACTTTCTGGTGGCCCGATCCGGGCCGGAATTCGGGCCAGGCCGGGCGGGCTAGTAGATGGAGCGGGACTCGGCTCGAATAGATGATGTAATCGTTACGCGACGGAGAGTGGACGACTCGGTGTTTTGATTGGGTGGACGTGCAGATAGAGCGCTGGTTAGTTTCGGGTCTGCCGCTGGGAGGCGCTAAGGTTTGTTGTTGGTGCATGGTGGTGCCTGGGGGCTCATAGGGGTCGGCATAACATGAACATCACGTGATGCCTCATGCCTCTCCCAAGGGAGGCCTCTGACCGAGAGGGACGAGAACATTTTGAGTGCAAGTCTTGCATCAAGAGGTAAGGCATTGGCCAATCGAGATAAAAACAAATGGAAAGCTTCACCCCTCTCCTTCGCACACAATGTCACAAACGCGCGCACATACAAGTCCTGCTGTAACACAGCAGCAGCAGCAGTGGCAGCAGCGGACAACACACGCGTGATCGGTGACAGAACGGGGCCTCACATACCGGTCCAAGCGCTGACAACTGCGCACTTGGCTCAGGCGCCGGCCCGCGCCTCCGCCCATAGACGAGAGAGGTCTGCCTTTTTATGGGTCAGTTGGTGTCGCCAACCGGCCTAGCGTGGCCTCGATGTAGTATGGTTTTGTATGTGTCACTGACGAGCTGTAGTCGGCCATGGAGATCCCTGGCTTGACCTGACCTTACCTGACCTGACCTGACCTGACCTGACTTGACCTGACCTAATATTGGGAAGATACGAGAATAGAGCGTTGGCAGCGTGCAGGATGGGCATGGGTAATAAAAAGTATGAAGAATCGTGCTGCGCTACTCTGCTACGTTTATATACTATGTAATGTGTAAACCTAGACCTCATTTATGGCAAAAGAACACAGCAGTAGTCAAACATCGTTTTTAGTGAAGCGCAAAAGGTCTCTGGCTATTTTCGGCTCGAAACGAAGGCGCTTCTTTCATACTGCGTTCGGGATAAAAGCGCCTGTACTTACCCCGTGTGTCTTCGCTTCCTATTTATATTCTCGCCTTTATTCACGCATGTGTGCCCTCCATTTATGACGCTGCCCCGGGTCGTATGTGTGTGATCCTAGCATTGGCCTGCGCTCGCCCCCGTGTGACCCCGTGTTCTCCCCTGTCGCCAGGTTTGACTTCACGCGTACCCCGGTGCTGGCCACCGGTCACCCAAACGGCCGCGTCCGCCTCTGGAGTCTGGAGACGGGCAGCTTGATGCTGGAGTTGATGGACCACCGCGGTGCCGTCAGGGACATCCAGTTTGCCCCTGACGACTCGCTCCGACTGGTGTCCGCGTCGGCGGACAAAACCCTCAAGGTAGGACCAAGCGTGGTTTTACTCTGCTTAACCCTATTCCTGGCGGGCTCCGCCGGGACAAGAAACTGGCGGGGGGGGGGGGGCCGATTCGGCCCCCCCCCCTGAGATCTCGAGAACGAAGCAAGATAGCGACAAGCGGTAAACGGCATCGGATACGCATGGACAAGGTCTACAATTTTTACCAAGGTCATTTTCAGGTCAGGTCAAAGATGACGTCACAGGGGTCGAAAAAGTCAAAATGGCGGCGCTAGATATGGAGAGTTTTTCTCGAATAACTTTCGAATTAGTCAAGATAGGAACAAACTAAGGGCATCATCGTAATCCTCTCGTCAATCCGCATCGAATGATATATATGTTGACCTCGAAAGGTCAAGGTCAAAGGTTGACCTCAGGTCACGTGACCTCGAGGTCATCATGTATATCATTCGATGCGTCTTGACGAGCTGAACACAATGAGACCATCCACGCGTCTGTATCTTGTTCCTGTACGGAGTTATTGGCCAAAAACCTTTGGTGACCTTTGATGACGTCACATGACCTCACAGCTGCCCAACAGCAAAACAGACCTCAAGGTAGTGAAGGTTGATCGTATATGAAGTCATGTATGGTATATGGGGCCATTCCGACCCGTTTTAGTGGTAAAAACAGGGAGTTGATTTTTCCCCCATTGACTTATAATGGGGAGGTCGCGAAACTGACCTGACCTTAGGTCACCGATATCAAAATTCCGAGATATACAAATTGCACATACTGGTACCCTAACTAAAGCCTGAAGAGAAGAAATTGATCGGTCAAAAACTCTAGCTCTGGCGTGATTGCAAACTTTTCTGAGGTAGGGTCACCAAACCGCCTCTGGTGACCTGACCTGAGGTCAGATCAACTCAAAATTTTCAGACTTGTTGCGTAGAAGCCTTTTAGGAAAAGTCAGAAAATTTGAGCTTCCTAGCTCAACGCGTTTGGGAGAAATAACCAAAAAAACCTCAGGGGGGCTCCTGAGGCCCCCCCCCCCCGCCAGGAATAGGGTTAAAGCCGTTCCCGTCCACTTGCAAAGGAGGGGCCCCCCTCCAGATGCAGCCTCCTGTTATTGCCTTTCGTTTCTCGCCGTTTGCTTCGCATAAAAAGCAAATTAAACGGCTTTTATGAAGTAAAGCTTGTTTCAAATTGCAAAACATAGCATAAGGATTAAGGAAGCGATGTTTGATGAATTCTCGGAAATTAAAAGACAACATTGAAAGTAGCTAAGCCCTCCCCCGGCCCCCGCAGCTTCTCCAATGCCTCTAGATTCGTCAGTGCTCCCGTCGTAATACGTTGCGTCAGTAAGGCTGGTTTTGACGTGCAATCAATCTATTTGGAGAAGCAGAACCGCGATATTTCATGCTCAAAGCCCTAAATTTTACGGAAATCCTTCGTAAATTGGCTTCATGCATTGTATTTCCCTACTCTGGTCTACAAAATCCCTGAACCACAATAAAATGAATTGAAGAAAGTCGCGCATTTGTCGAAAACTGGTTTCCGATGCCATGGCTGGCCTTCGTTATCCAGCGATAAAAAGCACTATACCGAACCCACCTGCACCGAACCCTCCTGCACCAAACCTTCCTGCACCGAACGCTCCTGTACGGAACCCTCCTGTACCGAACCCTCCTGTACCTCATCCCTGTCGTCCGAGGCGGGGGCAGGGCGGTGTCTTGACCCCGTGACGAGCAGTGGCGCAGCGGCGACATTCACCGACGCGACGTGGTGTGGCATGTGCCACGTGCCATAACACCGCCGGCTGCCGGTCTTCCCACTGCTTTTAGTTCGAAGTCACATGACCAAACGTCCGCGAACGTTCAACTGCGCTGTAGTGGGGAGAAAGGTTGCATGACCGAGGGCTCGCTCGCTGGCGCCGTGAGGTGCCCCTGTCTGGGCCCCGGTGCTGGGGAAGATCTGGATATTTCCGGTATGAGCCGGCCGGCGGTACCTCGGGTCCGGCGAGTGGGAGGAGGGGAGGAGAGATGGGGAGGGGAAAGGAGGGGCACTGGCAGGCACAGGTGCTATGAACATTCTTGGCGAATTCGTGTCTCTGTTATCATTTCTCAAGTGTTTTTCGTTGGCATTTGGCGAGTTTAAGTTTGGCGAGGTTGTACTTTGTAGGTTTGGTAAAGATAACCGTCTATGTGATTGCAAATAATAATAGTTCCTGGCTGTTGCGCTATGCGTGGTTAGACGTTTTCCGGAGTCGTGAGTTGCCAATCTATTGGCCGCCATGCTTGTTTGTATCAGCTCTGTTTGGTTATTTTATCTTTTCCTCGGGAGGTTCTCGAGATTGGCTCAGACACGGTACATCATATCATTTGCAGCTTATTCGGCTAGCGCAGCACTCGTATTTGCACACACTCCCACATATGTGTGCGCCCGATGGACACCTCTCCTCCCCCAGTTTCTCCCACCTTCCCCCACCTCACCTCTCTGTTCTACTTCTCCCGGCAGGCGTGGGACCTCACCGACGACGGTAACATGTTCAAGACGCTGTCCGACTGCCGCTCGCCGGTCCTCCGCTGCTCGTGGCGCCCCGATGGCAAACAGCTGGTGGCCTGCGGGCAGAGCAAGCTGGTGAGCATGTGGAAGGGATGGGTGGATGGGTGGGTGAAGGAGGTAAGGGTTTGGTGGGTGGTGGTACACGCAGGTGACCTTATTGATTATGGAAAAATAGATGTATGCTTGGTAGTCGTTTACGGTCCACGCGAGTGCTTTGGGTTAGGGAGGCTGTGTGATTTGTATAGTGAACTGTATGTATTGTGGGTAGTGGGTACTGTGTAGTGCGTGGGTACTGGGTCTGCGTGATCTGTTCTAAGGCCGATGTTTGGCTAACGTTCATTCTCTCATTGAAGAGGCTCTCATTGAGAGTGCCAATGTGCACGTAAGTGCGGGGTGTGAAGAGGCGGCCACTCGAATGTTGCGAATGTTACGTGCTTTTGTTATCAGTTGTTCCGGGTGATGTGATGACGTTATGAGCTCTGTGACGTAGCCTGTATCACTTTGAGGGCCTGACAGCCACTGTTGGTTATGTGCAGCTGGTGAGGGTTCGGCGACATGAGACCAGACAATTTTCAAGGAAGAGTGGGAAACGGGTTTCGATATTCCGACATTTCGACATCGACGCCTTATAGATTTAACGGTGCTGGGCAAGGTCAAATTTCCCGTCAGGGTGTACCCGTTCCGTAAGACCCGTTCCATGCATCTATTGTTCTGTTCCAGCTCTACGTGTTCGATATGGTGGATTACAAGCGACAGATGGTGCTGGAGGGCCACTACAACGAGGTGACGTCATGCTCTTTCACCTGCGACGGCAGCCTCATAGTTTCCTCCTCGCACGACACGCGCGCCATCGTGTGGGACGCAGAGACAGGTGAGCTTACAACTCTGGCCGCCAGAGCGCAGGTCGGCCGAGCCGCGTTCTCCGCTATTTATGGCATTGTCCTTGGACGAGCGGCATGTCTGCGAACTGTGAGGGGAGGGTGGGTGTTCTGCGCAGTTCGTATGGATGATATGGTGTGGTGTGTGGTTCATGAGGATTGTACGATGGCATTCCTTTCTCGAGGCGCACACTAAGGCCACGGTATTTGAGACTTGATGCGATTTTATATCGATAAATGTCATTCAAGCGCAGATGAAATGGGAACGTTTTAGGCATTTAGGTTATCTAGATTCTGGAAATTCGCAGCTTTCACATAACTCAGAAGGGACGTTACCATAATCATGATAATTGTAGTATCGTGCGTGACGAATTTAACAGTACCTAGGATCGGTAACTTTAACGGGTTTTTGAAACGGGCTATTCGGTGAAGTTAAAACGTTAATTCTGTTCTTAGTTTGCGTGAATGAATTGTATGATTGCTTGTGTGTGTACTGTGTTGTCGCTTTTTCACATATGTGTCGTTTTGGGGCGGTTCCTTGGAACCCAGGGTATTCGAGACACCCTATTCGTATGAGTTTCCTTTCAGACCTGCGGTGGCTTGAGGCGCCTCGGCAGGACCTGATGGTAATACTCTAACTCATCTACTGTCTGTCTGTCTGTCTCTCTGTCTTTTTCTGCGGTGTTGACCGCCAATCAGTCGGACTGACCGACACGATAATACTGTAATGTGACTGCTAATGGTGTTTCACGGAAGCAAGATTTTGAAAGCGCTTCGGTTAGCATAAATATGTTGAATTCAAGAAGCCGCGGCAATAAAATGCTAATGCGTATTCATTATTCAGTATCATTCTAAAATATTGAACGATATATCTTAATTTCGCCATCGCTTAATCTGTTGTGTCGTTCTGCTATTTTGCAGCAATTAGTTGCTTCATCTTTTTTCATTTCGTCCGAAATTATCAAGTTCAATACGTATTCTGCGAGTTATTATTTCTGCTCATTCACACTATCCCCTGACTCACTTCAACTCCGAGTAACTCCCTTCCGACTCTGACCCGCCGAGTGCGCACCTCCCCACTCACACTGTCCGCTCCCACAGGCAAACCGCTGCGGACGCTGTTCCACCTGAACCCTCCCCCGCGGCTCATCTTCGCCGCCGGAGAGAACGGGGCCTGGGTCAAGGCGGCTGTCATGTCTAGGGCCATGTGCCAGACGGCCACAGTCTGCGAGGACGGGTGAGTGACTCCTCTGCTGCGACCTGACCTGACCTGACCCGACCGTGTGGCAGTCGGGGTGCTGCTGTGGTCTTCCGACCTACCGGTAGGGCTGTGTATTGCTGGTTATTATTTGATACTAATGGTTCGAAGATGCAAGAGAAGTCTAGCTATAATGGAAGCTAACGATCGATAAGTTGCTTCATTTTATTTGATGCACGTCCGTTGTAGGACTTCAATAGATTCGTGAGATAATGTTTACAATATATAAGCTTCTAGACGTCCGATCAACACGGGACAAACACGTATTATCTTTCCTTGCATAACATATTTAAAAATTCATGTTACGTGCCTTATTTATAAGCTCATGTCTGTGACCTCCCATCATACCCCAACGTGACCATCGCTGACCTCGCTGACCCCTCTCTGACCCCACTGACCCCTCGCTGACTCCACTGACCCCACTGACCCCTCGCTGACCTCTGACCCGCCCGCAGCCTGGTGCGGTTCTGGCACCCGTGGCAGAGCTGGGAGGAGCCGGCGCTCTCTGTTCCCGTCCCTCGCTCCAGTGAGGAGGAGATTCCCACCTCCTGTGCTTACAACGCAGCAGGCACGGTCATCGCCGTTGGGTGAGTGGATGACCGGATGGTGGGCGTGGAGTAGAAAAGATGTTAGAATTTTGTGTCGGCCGGGCTTACAATACTGCCTGGCAGCTTTTTGGATGGGGTATGCTACAAATGATACGCTCAAAAACAAAAAGATTGGTGAGCTGTTTTGTCTGCAAATAGGTGTCTGGTGCGAAGAAACTTATATAGATTTGGGAATAACTTCAAAGTGATTTAAACTGAAAGAAACTACTCTGCTTGAACAAAGCCAACCTAATCCTAGCCATCATCATGAGTGATATTTTCTACGAGCGTAATCGAAACCCTCACTAGCCGTAGTGTCTCTCGCTCAATATGTTCACCGATCAATCGTTCAACTCGCCGTTCATTGTGTCTGTCGTAGACCCTGACCTCCCTCCCCCTCCCCACTCCTTCGACAGCACGAGCCGGGGCGCGGTAACGTTCCTCACCGTACCCAAGTACATTCCTCCCCTGAGCCACCTGGCGCGCCGAGCAGTGCGCCGGGTCACCTCAGGTAGGCAGGTGGAACAGCTCCCTTTGCCCGGTGCCGTGCGAGGCTTCCTCTGCTACGCGCACTGAACGGCTGTGATCACGGCGCAGAGGAGCGAGGGTCCGCAGGATGGCGTGTGTATGTATATACGGATGTGTGGTTCTTGGTGTGACGTCAGAAATGTCGTGTGTGACGTCCGATATGCGTTGTGACGTCGGCTGGTGCCGTGTCGAATGGCGCGCTGTGTACGGTGTGTAATTGTATTCCATGGTGCGGAGCGGGCGTGGGTCGGAGCTGTTGGCTGGTTGTCGGCCCGGCAGTGTTGCACTGTTGCACAGTACAGTTGTTCTGTCGCGGTACCCGGTGCGTTGTGCAATAGGAGGCGCCGCGCGGCGGCTGCGGTCCGACCGTCACTGTTCGGGGGCTGGTCACCGGCGCTGACCGGCGCTCTCCGACACACAGAACCTGAGCAGGGAGCCGCTGGTCGCCACAGCCGGAGACGCGGCCTGCGTGCGGACGCGTCGGAGAGGTGCCTTTCGTCCTCCCTCCTTCCTTCCCTCCGCCCGAGTTTTCGCTAGCTGTATCGTGTATTGTCGGGCGAGTTTGGCGGCGCTACGGAGAGAGATTGGTCGCGCCGCTGCACTTTTGTCGTTTGTTGTATTATAGAACTATATTGGAACTGGAAATGTTTTACGCTGGACTGAGAGTTTGTTGCAATAAACTAAGTCACCTTTTCCATGGTGTGGTATGTCGGGGCCCCTTTTATTTGCCCATGCATAGGTATGGCATGTTTAACGAGTGATAAATCCTAAGACGTAACTATTCGGTGGCCGTAAAGGGGACTTGTGGTCGTGGTTCCCTTCAAGACCCAATCAGCTTTAATTTTATTGATAATAAAGCATTGAATCGTGTATCACAAAAAGCGAGCTCATGAAAACGTACAGTCTTCGGCGATACCAGACTTAAAAAGAGCAATGAAAGTGCACAATGGCAACAAAACTGATAGACTGATAAGCAGCATGACCTTTCCGACCCGACCGTCACTCAGTTGACCTTAATACTAGGCCACTGCGGCCCTGCCGACTGGACCAGCTGCTGCCATCTGGTGCCTGGTCCCACAACCGCCGCTGGCACCGGCGCAGGCGAGCCCTAGGAAGAACTAATAGGTTTCAGATGCAGCCCACAGAGATTTGACTTCCATGGGGCGGCAGACGGAGCTCCCGATACACAGGCTCTGAAAGTAGAGCGTGCCAGGTATAAATGGCTATGCACAGCCCTTGATAGTGAGGTCACAGGTTATGAGGTAACATTAATGGTTACACACACATCCCTTGGTAGTGAGGATAAGGGCTAACTCAGACTAAAGACTTAACATTTACGCTTACCTAGAGTGACCTGCGTTTACTAGAGTTCATGAGGCGCTGAACGGCTCCGGTACCTACCAGGGACCTTGAGAGAGATGGTGCGACGACGTCCACTGTCAGTCAGGCCCAAGTCTGTCTCAAGCAGGGCACTCAGGACGGTCTGGCAGTTTTCTGGTGATGAAGTTAGGAAGAGGATGTACAATTTCCGACAGGTCGCTGCCAGCCTGCAGCAGGTGAGACCAAAACAGAATATGGTGAGCCGATCGAGATACAGGTCACAACTCACAGGCACAGGTCACAGACACATACATGAACATCTGAGTAGTCTATCAAACAGTCAACACGCACCGATACTCGCCGGCCGACTGACCTGCTGACCGCTGCCACCTCCGACGGAGTCAGGGCAGGTATATCCGTCACAGGCCGGGGGTCTCTGAGAGTTAGCGCGTACAGCCGACGGTAGCCGTGGAGGGCTTCTAGTGCAACGTCTGAGGTGGCGCCAGCTACGTCCAAAGTAACGGTACTTAACTTGGGAAAGGCAGCCAGAATACGGCTCAGGGCTTCCGGTGTCACGGACGGTGACTCTGCAAAACACGTACAGAAACAGAGAGGTGCTAAATGACAGTGAATTTAATTCGAAACAGTTAAAAGTTGAAGATTGATGAGAGACAAACACACAAAGACAAGCACTTATGTGTCCCGACCAAGCACATTCCGTTTAGTCTTTCAATTATCATGCACCAAAGCAATGTCATCAAGGTTCGTCGAACTCTAATCACCGCAGAGCTGATCTTCAATGGAGTAATGGACAGTTTATCCGTGATGGCGCTGCTAACCATGTATGCTCAAGTCGGTAACTCTGCTGCGTTTCCGGCCCGAAAGAACAGTCAGCTGGTCCAGGAGTGCGTCGGTTGCCAGCCGTACACAGACATTCAGTTCCTCAAACCAGTGAAGGCACGGTGGCTTCGTCATTCCTGATCCTGCAGAGGAAGCCGAAGGGCAGTCAGTATCCAGCAGAGAAGCAGCGTCAGTACGAGTATCTAACTAATGCAGGAGTAGCGTCAGTATCCATCTAAAACAGGAACAGAGTCAGTAACCGAGAAAAGTTAGTATCTCATGCAGAAACATCGTCAGACTCGAGCACAGGAGCCGTCAGTATCTCAGCATTAAGCATGGCATGAGTGGCCAGGCAGCGCACCTTTTCTCACCAGTGATGAGCAGTCTTTTCAGTGACTGCGGCAGCAGCCGCAGCCACTTGCCGGAGCTGTCCACGGGTGGGCTCAGATCGAGCAGCTCCAGAACCTTCAGCGGCTCCAGCAGCGCCTCCAGCTGCTCGTCGCTGATGCCGGCCGGCAGCGTCAGCTCACGCAGACTGGAGGCGTTGGCGAGCGCCAGCCGGCGCAGGGCAGGGACACTCAGTTTGAAGCCGCACAGGTTGGCTTTCTCCAGAGCGTGGCAGGCTCCCGCTGGAATACAACACCGTCGTCAGTAAACTAGTGGTCTCACGTGGGCAGGGGTATAGGAAATAGAAGGTGACTGCTCGAATACAACACTGCATGTGCAGTGTGTCATGAATGAGTACGTGGTAGTCACTCACCGACCAGTCGGAGGTCGGTGTTGGTCTGGGCGGTCGGCGCCTTCAGCTGGGTCAGCTTGGGCAGCTCCCTGGCCATCACCACCAGCTGGAGAGAGGTGGCCGGCGCAGGGGCGAAACCCCGCGACAGCCGGACGGCACGCTCACGCCGACAGTCGTCGACGATCTCGTCGATGACCAGCCGCCAACTCTGACAGACTGTCGGCAGTGTCGGAAAGGAAATGAACAAGAGACGCGCTACCTTTTGACATCATGGCTGGTGCACTCAGGGCATAAAGAGTGTCGAACTCTACACCGTACCCTTGATGAACCCTGGACCAGACTAATCACAATCACATACTTACTTGAGACCTTTTGAAGAGCTGAGAAACACCACGACATGCATAACGCCAGAGGGTATCCATAGTAATAACTGTATCGTATTCGTGACCATGGCTTACGCAGGTTGATCATAATTCGTATCGTGAACCACAAAGTTCGCCAGTCGTCACGTCAAAACGCTCACCCCGTCTGGCGCGGAACATTTCCCAGCAGTCCATCATGCTCAGCACCAGCTTCAGCAGTTCCAAACACAGGTCATAAATGGTGGCCTCGCTCCGAGCTGACTCCCGTAAGTCACCCCCAACCGGCACCGTCTCCTCAGCCCCCGCTGCAGCATGGGTCCTCACGAGGTCACGAGAATCGATGTCGCCACACTTGCTGGAAGCGTTGGCCGGCAGCGCCACATCCCCATCGTCACTGGAGGAAGATGAAACATCAGCGTGACGTCAGGTGATGACATCATGGATCGCATATCTCTACAGGCACCCAGTGAGACTCCTACATACGGAAACCCTGCTATCGCATGGATCGCATATCTCTACTACAGGCACTCAGTGACATTCCGACAGACGGAAACCCCGCTGCCGCTGTTGCCCTGTCGCCCCTGCTGTCCCTGTCAACTCAACCAGCTGCTGACCATCACCCCTTCTGCCTGTGCCCCCTGTTCTCCATCACCCCTGCTCCCTTCCCTCTCACCCTTTCTGTCTCTCCATGTCCTCTTGCTCCTGCAGACGGTCGAATGAAGCCACGATTTTGAACACCTGAAACCGTTGGTAATGAGATGAGAGGAAGCGAGGGAGAAATTGGGCTATGTCGACCACCAAATGGTGCGCCGCAAGCAGCAACTGCTCCAATCCCGTTGCCGTTGGCACGGAAGAGCAACGGCGCAAGAGACAGGCCAACTAGTCGCTAAAACGGCTACCCTCGGAGGATTATGCTGCTACGGATACGAAGCTGCACTAGAGTGTTGGCTGGGTAGGTGGACGGTCAGCTTGAATCGAAAGTAATTGCGAATGACGATGGGTTTTGTCTTGTGTTAACCCGCGACCCGTTGGGGGGGGGGGGCAAAGGGCCCCCTGTGGTTTTTCGGAGATAACTCAGAAACGGCTGCGAATTTCGACTTGGACCTTTAAGTACATCTCTGGACATCAGTTATACACAACCCTTGAAAAAATTAGGTCCCAGGTCATCTCAGGTCACGAGCTATAGAGGTCAAACTGAGGTCATGTTCGGCGATTTTCCGTCGAAAAAGTTTTTCACGGAGAAAATCGCGGAAAATCAGGGTTTCAACTTAGCGACTCAAAAACTTGACCGTAGGTATAAAAGGTATGACGAACAAAATGGCTATCTCGAAATTTCCAAAACATCAAACAAAATCTTCTTTCTAGCGTTAACCCGCGCCCGGGTGGACCTCTCAGTTTCAGCCAACTTCACCATGGTGGTGGTGGTGGGGGGGGGGGTCCTTTTTGGCCATAGCCCATAACACATTATCTCGGAAAGTAAGCAAGCTAGAAAGACGCCGTAAAAAGCATTAGATAGCTCGCTATAAGATCTTTCAGAATTACGTAGGTCATTTTTCGATCAGGTCATCACTGAGATCACTAGAGGTCACCAAAATTAACCCGCGCCCCGTAGGGGGGGGGGGGCGAAACGGCCCCCTGTCCTTTTCCGTCGATATCTCCTAAACGGCTGGAGATATCGCCACCAAACTTTCAGGACTCCTCCGGAAATCAATTTTACACATTGCGATCAAAAATTTTTCCAGAGGCTATGATAGGTTAGCCACAAATGACGTCAGAATGACGTCATGTTCTGCCATATTCGACCGAAAAAAGACCTTCGTGAGAAGAGCTCTCAGGCCTACAGCTTTGAAGATACAGAAAAATGATCAAGTTATAAAAGGTGTAGAATTGACAGAACTACAAAACTGCTATCTCGGATTCTTGAAATTTTTGAGTCTCGACCCCAAAAATCAAAAATGCATTGTTTTTACATATATATTAGCCAAACAATAAAAAAATGAGTTTCGAAAAAACGGAATATATAAGATAGTACCAACCGTCTTCTATCTATATAACAAATTTCAGATTGATACCTTGTTTTTTGGCAAAGTTATAGCGTAAAAACTTTCAAAAGTGATTACGTCAAATTTTCAAACTCAATTTTTGGCAATTCTAGACCTCGTAGAGCAAAACAAAGACCACCATTAGACTCCCCGTGACCAGCTGCATCGAATCGATACCCATTTTATGCAAAAATATCAACTTTGAAATTTGACCTATTTTGACCTGACCTTGACCTGACCTTTACCAAAACGTGACCTAGGCTGGCCCAAAAGGCTGCCTAACCCACATAATCGCATTTGTCATGTAAAATGGACAATAAACCATGTATCACGCGACACTTTCATATTGTGACCCCCAGTGACCTGACCTCTGTGACCTGACCTGGGCCCAATCTTACCAATGCCGTAAATAGGATTTGGCAGCACTGGCTGGAGTTTACGGCACTGATATCAAATATATCCTTTTTATTTACATCCAGCTAATCTTGTCCAATGATTTTGATAGCGTTAATGGTTATGGAATGTTGCCTAAACCAATGAATTAGTGAATGTGGACTAGTTCTGAATGTTACCAAATGCCGTGAATGCGCATTCACTGCATTTGATAAGATTGGGCCCTGGTATCAGTGATCTCTGATAGCGAAGTATGTGTTTGACGAACGATGTGCCATCGATGGTTTCCAATAAATTACCAATTTGCTCGATTTCACAACACATTTCTTGAAATGCCTGTGAACGGTGAAAATCTGACCTTTGACCTGCCCTGTGACGTCATCGGTTTGACCTAGGTCAATGAAATTTGGTCACAAGGTAGTTCTTCGGTGGGGCTATCGAACGCCGTTTGAATTTTGAAAATCGGCCGTTAAATTTCCGAGATCTTGGGGGGGCGAAACGTCCCCCCCCCCCTACGGGTGGTAGGGTCCGCCGGTAGCCCTACGGGGCGCGGGTTAAGGTTATCGCGACTTTTTGTTCCCGATTCTGACAACTTTTCACAAAGCGGCGCATAAGTCGGGAACCAATAGAGCTACAACGCCGCGGAAAAGCGTCTTCAATAGCTCTTTCAAAGGCCTTTCTGAGCATTGATCTCATATTCGACCCAAGGTCAACGGTTTAGCCTCCAGAGGGCAATAACTAAAATCGAACGTTACTGTGGAAAATGTTTTTCTCTAATAACTTAACTTTTGATTCCAAGCTTGTATGTATTACACTGATTTTACCGGCATCGCGTTTACCTCGTCGAGACGTGTCAAATGAGCTATAGGATCTAACTAGTTATGAACCTTAGTTGACCTGGAAGGGTCAGCTTGAAAATTTGACCTCAAATCAAGGTCAGAGAAAACGTCATGCTGCATATCATTGGTTTTGTGTTGTTGAGCTGAACACATTCATGGTGTTTTAAGCGCTCTAGCATGTTTCTCTAAAGTAACATATTGTCAAAAGAAAAAACGTTAGTTACGTTCATGACCTGACATGACCCATAAAAGGATTCACAGGTGCAATTTTCCTATCCAGTGTGTGATATTCACATGCGTTCTGATCTTTGAGCGTGTCTCCGTCTCCGACGAAAGTTAACCCGCGCCCCGCTAGAGGGAGCAGAATCTGCCCCCCCCCCCCGCCTCCCGTTTTTCGCCAATAACTTCTAAACGCGTTACGCTTCAGTACTTTATCATACATCAATTTGACACATTCCCTGAAAATTTGAGCGAAATCCGTCGGAAGTGCTTTTTGATAAAATAACGTTTAAGTGGTGTCACGTTACGACCTTTTCGCCTCATAAACGGCAAAACTTCAAACGCCGCCTAACATCTTCATTTTTTAAAGAAATCAAGACGTAACAAAAAGCCAAGGTTATACGTGATTCAACTTTGTCTATCAAATGGCTATCTCTGTTTTTTGAAAATTTTGGATTTTGGCCCAATTTTTTCTTCAAAAACTGACTTTTGGGAAAATCATTATACAATCCAAAATTTTGAGTATATCGAAAAACCGGATTAAATGTCAGAGAAGTGGTCTATGACTATGTGCACCTACATACCAATTTTTAGAAGAATCGGTTCAAAAATGTGGGAGTTATTCAAACTTTTATGACGTCACGATACACAACATTTTTGAAAATGATTTTTTGGACGTTCTAGACCTCGTACGGAAACAAAAATAGCACCATTCGATTCGGCATAAAAAACTGCGTCAGTTAGACACCTTTTTAGGTCTTAACAACCAACCTCAAAATTTGACCTCACTTGACCTGACCTTGACCTGGCCTCGACCTGAAATTCATCCAAATGTGGTCCATATCACTTATTGAGTGTGCCTATTGAATTATATGAATAAAATGACCCATAAAACATGTGTCGCACATGCCCTTTCTATATTTCGTTTTTGGTGACCTGACCTGACCTTGACCTTTGCATGATATTGTACCAGCAACGAATATTGTCTTGGTAGCCTAAGAACACGTTTTGGGCAATCAGTCTCAGTCCATTCTTCGGTAACTACGGTGCAAGGCCGATACTGTAGAAACTTGCGTTTTGTAGGTACCTAGGTACCCTTGACCTGACCTTGACCTGACCTCTGACCTACCTATTTAACAAAAAAATCGGCTCTTAAGATCATCCTTGATGAGAGCTTTCGATTGCCGTTTTCCCGTCTTTCTACGAACATCGGTTCAGAAGTTAGACAAGGGGCAGAATCTGCCCCCCCCCCCCAGCAGCACGCGTATGGCTGAATAGCCCAGCGGGGCGCGGGTTAACTAACTTGCGCCCCGTAGGGCTATCGGTGGACCCTACCACCCGTAGGGGGAGCGTTTCGCCCCCCCCCCCTAAGATTTCGGAAATGTAACAGACGATTTTCAAAATTCATACGGCGTTCGATAGGATTCCAGGACAAAAAGTCAAAAGACAAAATGTCAAAAGACAAAAAGTCAAATGCAAAAAGTCAAAATGGATAAAAGTCAAATGGAAAAAAAGTCAAATGAATAAAAGTCAAAACGGATAAAAGTCAAAAGACAAAAAGTCAAATGGCAAAAAGTCAAATGGCAAAAAGTCAAAATGGCGAAAAGTCAAAAACGCAAAAAGTCAAAAGCAAAAAGTCAAATGGCGAAAAGTCAAAATGGCAAAAAGTCAAAAACGCAAAAAGTCAAAAGCAAAAAGTCAAATGGCAAAAAGTCAAAATTGCGAAATGTCAAAAACGAAAAAAGTCAAAAGCAAAAAAGTCAAATGGCAAAAAGTCAAAATGCCGAAAAGTCAAAAACGCAAAAAGTCAAAAGCAAAAAGTCAAATGGCAAAAAGTCAAAAAACGCGAAAAGTCAAAAGACAAAAAGTGAAAAAAACGGCAAAAAAGTCAAAATGATAAAAATCAAATGGAAAAAGTCAAATAAGAAAAAGTCAAAAGTAAAAAGTCATATATCTAAAAAACCATAAGACAAAAAGTCAAATGATCAATGTCAAAATTCCTTAAAGTCAAAAACCATAAGCCAAAAGCAAAAAGTCAAAACCGCAAAAGGCCAAATTAATAAAAGTCAAATGGAAACAAGTCAAAAATCAAATATGTAGAAAGTCAAAAGAAAAAAGTCAAATATTAATAATTTGTATTGTCTTATTGTAAAACGAAACAAAAAAAAAATAAACCTTAGTCAAAGCCACTTGAAGTGAAAACGGTTAAATTCAAATGGAAATAAGATAAACAAGACATAGTCAAAAGTCAAGAGTCGTCAAGAGAGTCCAGGGCCTCCTCTCAGGGGCGACACTTTCCGAAAATTATTGGTATTAGGGCTCTAATGTAAATTTTTGCCAATTCAAAGCGATTCTTTCCACGCAACGCCATAGGCATAATGTTAAATTTCCAAAATTATTGTTAGAGCTCGGGCCCTACCATGCCTATACTGTATACAAAACGACACCCATGCCTCCTCTAACATGTTAACTGCGGGAGCTGCAGCCCCCGCAGTCATCCTCCAAACTGGTCACTGAGGGGTACCTTAGTCATTTTTTAGTCTTAGACGTTTTTGGTAGGGGTTACCTTAGTCATTGCCCGTGATCGGGCCCCCCAGTCAAAGCTGCTTAGAGGAGGCACTGCTTTTCACCCTCTCCCATGGGGGAGGGGCTGCCGCCGCCCGGTGCTCCGCGCACCACGGACGCCACGCGAGCGCTGCTGGCGCGGCGGCGCGCACTGCTCGGCCCGCGCGCCGAGTATACGCGCGTACTCACATGTTCCTTACAACTTCAGTGGGTAGGGTACGTTGCGCTGTATAATATTTTTCAAAAGATGAAAAGATCGATGCTTCGACTTTTACCTTTTGACTTTTTATTTCAGACTTTGACTTCGACTTTTCTGTTTTATACTTTTTTTCATTTTTTGACTTTTGCCCGTTTTGACTTTTTGCTTTTGACTTTTTGTCTTTTGACTTTATTCCGTTTTGACTTTTTTGTCTTTTGACTTTTACTCGTTTTGACTTTTTGTCTTTTGACTTTTTTCCGTTTTGACTTTTATCCTTTTGACATTTTGCATTTTTGACTTTTTGACTTTTGACTTTTACACGTTTTGACTTTTTGCTTTTGACTTTTTGTCTTTTGACTTTTTTCCGTTTTGACTTTTATCCTTTTGACTTTTTCATTTTTGACTTTTTGCATTTTTGACTTTTTGTCATTTGACTTTTTGCGTTTTTGACTTTTGCACATTTTGACTTTTTGCTTTTGACTTTTTGTCTTTTGACTTTTATCCGTTTTGACTTTTATCTTTTTGACTTTTATCCCGTTTGACTTTTTGCATTTGACTTTTTGTCTTTTGACTATTTGTCTTTTGACTTTATTCCTTTTGACTTTTTGTCCGGTTACCGTTCGATAGCCCCACCAGGGCTCTCGGATTGACATCGGTCCAATCGATGACGCCACAGGTCAGGTCAAAAGTCGCATTTTGACCGTTTACAGGCATTTCAAGAAATGTGTTGTGAAATCGAGTAAATTCGTCAAACATATATTTTGCTATCTGAGGTCATTGATACCATGTCAGCCGTCAGGTCACAGCTAGGTCAGATCACTCAGGGTCGCAATATGAAAGTGTCGTGTCATACATGTTGTGTGTTCCATTTTACATGAAAAATGCGATTATGTGGGTCAGGCAGCCTTTGGGGCCAGTTTGGGTTATGTTCTGGTGAAGGTCAGGTCAAGGTCAGGTCAAATTAGGTCAAATTTCAAAGTTGATATTTTGCATAAACTGGGTATTGATTCGATGCAGCTCGTCACGGGGAGTCTAATGATGGTCTTTGTTTGGCGCTACGTTGTCTATAATTGCAATTTGACGTCACCAATTTTGAACAGTTTTTTTCGCTATAACTTGGCCAAAAAAGGAGATATCGATCTGAAATTTGGTATGTGGATAGACGACGGTAGTTACTATCATATATTCCGTTTTTTAATTTAAAAAACGTTTGAGATTTTTTTTTTGCTATTATATCTAAAAGAAAAATCGATCGTTTTTATTATCCAAAAATTCTATTTATATCATTTCCATTTTCGTATCATATTACAGCACAAAATATGTCAAAAAAAAATTCGATCTATCAATCAACCAGATTCACAAAAAAAACATTCATTTTTACATTCATTTACATTGTGATTAAATTCATTTTTAATCACAATGTGTAAAATGGATGCCTAGAGGGGTCCTGAGAGTTCGGTGGCGATATCTGCAGCCGTTTAGGAGATATCTACGGAAACGGACAGGAGGAAGGGCCGTTTCAAGGGGAGGGGCCGTTTAGCCGGGCCTTTTCCTGACAGCCTTACCTCGTCTCGATCGTTGGCAGTTTGCCCTCGGTGCACACCACGGTACTTAACCACCACACCAGTTCTGACCCAGCACTGTGCGGGTCGCCGCGTCCCGCCGGTGCTGTTTGCTGAGCTCTCTGATAAGCGGCTCTTGTGTCAATGCGAAACGTTGCACTTATGTCTCATATCAGCACCGTGGCACGGCACGATGCTCCAAGACTTGCTGTCCAAACTGATAAAGGACTGGTCAATAAACAGTTGATGGCAATGTTGATGGCAATGATAAGCAGTGCACAGTGCACACCGTAGGATCAGAACGGTCTACCCTCACGCCGGACATATTGGTTTTCACCTGGCGAGTCCACCCCTCTCCGTTTTGCTTTAAATGCTTCCGGAAAGAAGCACTTTTGCTTTTAAAGCTTGCTGGCCGGCACGACAACGAGCAAATGGTGCACGATTTCAATGTCTCAGATCAACTGGTGACGTGTTAGGTCGGTTTAATTGCGGCATAGCGGCTGCTCGCATTTTGATTTTTGGCAGCTCGCCAACAATGGTCGCACTTCACAGACCGCAGCGAGATTTAATACATCGCGTGTTCATGTCCGATTCGAATGGTACGGAGAGAAAATCACTCTGCAGCTGGTGCCGGCTTACTGTGGCATCCCCGGACATGAGGTGGCGGACGAAAGGGAAGAAGCTGACCTCTACTACAGGAGGAAAAGGTGCCAGCTCGCGGCGGGTGTTCTCGTGACAACGGATGCCGTGCACACAACCAGGACGGTCACACTCGCAACGGCGTGGCGCGGGACATGGCCGAACTCCTTCATACGGCGAATCTGGGGAACCACGAATCTCGAGCTGGTCTCCGGCGTGGACAGAAATGAGGCGGTGAATGTTCACCGGCTGCGCCCCCCCCCCCCAGCCACTAATAGGGGTACCTAGCCAGGAGCCTGCCACTAATAGGGTTAACTGGACGATGGCCAGCCAGTAGGTACCTACCTGATCCAATGCATCGGTCGTCTTCCTGCGAGGTCCTACCTGGACGTGCGCTGCCTCCTGCCGAAGGTGCGGTGCGTCGTTTGAAAGAAGCTATATGCACCCGAAGCCCGCGAAGGTGTGCTGTGCTGCTCACGGTGTCCGTTGTCTGAGCGTGGCAGGGCTGCGTAAGGCTGCTCGGCAATAGGTAGGTACCTATGTATAGGTAGGCACAGGCAAGGGCGCACACAAGGGGGGGGCACACGGGCCCGTGCCCCCCCATTCGAGTTGGGGGGGCCCAACTCGAAGGAAGGGGCCCATTTGAGGCGGCCTTCGGCCGCCTCAAATGGGCCTCTAACTAATCCCTAGACCAACGAAGACCGTGTACAAAGGGCGCTCAAATGGCCTCAAAGGGCCCTCAGATAGTCTCAAAAGGCCCTCAGATGGCCTCGAAGGGCCCTCAGTTAGCGTCATAGGGCCCTCATCTGGTGTCAAAGGGCCCTCAGATGGCCTTAAGGAGCCCTCAGATGACCTCAAAGGACTCTCAGATGGCCTTAAAGGGCCCTCAGAGAGCCTCAGAGGGCCCTCAGCTAACGTCAAACGGACGTCAGAAGGCCTTAAAGGGTGTCAAAGGTCCCTGAGCTGGCGTCAGAGGGCCATGCCCTTGCGTCAAACGGCTCTCCGAAGGCTCTAAAGAGTCCTTTGCTAGTGACAGAGGGCCCCCAACTGGTGCCAGATGGCCCCCAGCTGGCGCCAAATGGCCATCAGAAGGTCTCAAACGGTCCTCAGCTGGCGTCAAGCGGCCCTCAAAAAGCCTCAAGGGGCCCTTAGAAAGCCTCAATGGGCCTTTAGAAGACCTCAAGGGCCCTCAGAAGACCTTACAGAGCGTCAAAGGGCCTTGAGCTAGCGTCAGAGGCCCCCCCAGCTAATGCCAGAGGGCCTTGAGCTAGCGTCAAACTTAAAGTGCCCTTAGCTGGTGTCAGAGGGCCCCAGTTGGTGTCAGAGGGTCATCCATTGGCGTCTAATGGCCATCAGAAGGCCCAAAAACACGATCCTCAGCTGGCGTCCAACGGTCCTCAGCTGACGTCAAGAGGCCCTCAAAAGGCCTCAAAGGCCCCTCGACTGCTCAAAGGGCCCTTAGAAGGCCTCAATGGGAACTCAAGAGACGTTAAACGGCCCTCAAAAGGCTTGAAAGGGCCCCCTGCTGATGGCAAAAGGCTCGCACCTGAGTCAATAAGAGCCTTGTCAAAAAACGGACCTGAGAAACCTTGCCGGCCCTTCTGCGGGACTCCTACACTTACCTGAGTGGCCCCCGTTTACTGAGGGGCCCTGGTTATTGATGGGGTTCCTCGTTACTTAAGGGGCGCCTGGTTACCAGAGGGGCCCATGGTTACCTGGTGGGCCCCTGATCAATTGAAAACCCCTGGTCATCTGAAACGCCCCTGATTACCTAAAAGGCCCCTAATCACTTGGATTCAGTGACATAGCAAGGGAGCGAGGGGGTACGTGCCCGTTCTCGGGTTTAGGGTTCCTTCGAAACCGAGGGGCCCTGCGGCGCCAGTTGGTAGCAGAGGGTTCGCGCTGGCCGCACTTCAACTCGGAAGGACACCACAGGGCTTGTGGGGGCACGTTATTGGCTCCTATGTAGCCACAATTATCTTCATAAAGGCCCAATGCCGGTTTCTGAGAGACCTCGCCGGCCGCTCAGGGCCCTAGTAACGGCCAACGAGGGATTGGCTGCTATGGCTCCACATCCGTCTGTGATAGACACACGGTCCACACCAGTGTTTCTAAAGGCACCCACAACGGCAACTGCGAGGCCCCTCGCCCCACCTCCAAGGGACCCCCACCAGCGCATCTTAAGGGCCTACATCGGCGGCTCTGAGAGTCCCCACACCGACGCCTCTGAGGGCCACGTACCAGTGACTCTGAGGGCCTCTTACCAGCCTCCGAGTGTCCTTGCCAGCCTATGACGGGCCACTTTCCACTTGCAGGCCATTTTGCAGGGCCACACACATGCCAATGATGGCCCCACCAGTGTCTCTAAGCCCGCAACGGCGCCTGTGAGGACCCAACACCAGCGCATCTGACGGCCTTTCACTGGCACCTCTGAGCGCGCCACACACCGGTGCAGTGGCGTATCCAAGGGGGGACCCTGGGGGTCCTAGGATCCCCCCTGGAGCCTAGAAAAAGTTTTTTTATAACACGGAAAAAATTGAAATGACCTCAAGGGCCCTTTTGACCACTTCCCATTTTATTCGCTAAAAGAAAAAGTATTGTAGAACTCTTTTGAGGATTATCAGAGGACACATTTAGGCCAATGAGGGACCTTGTGAAGTATACAGAGGGCCCTCTCAGGTACACAGAGGGCCCTTTCAGGCACACAGAGGGCCCTCTCAGGCACACAGGGGCCCCTCTCAGGCACACAAAGGCCCTCTGAGACACACAAAGGGCCCTCTCACACAGACGGTCCTCTGAGACCCACAGAGGGCCCTTCCAGGCACACAGAGGGCCCTCTCAGGCACACAGAGGGCCCTCTCAGGCACACAGAGGGCCCTCTCAGGTACACAGAGAGCCCTCTCAGGCACACAGAGGGCCCTCTCAGGCACACATAGGGCCCTCTCAGGCACACAGAGGGCCCTCTCAGGCACACAGAGGGCCCTCTCAGGTACATAGAGGTCCCTCTCAGGCACACAGAGGGCCCCCTCAGGCTCACAGAGGGCCCTCTCAGGCACACAGAGGATCCTCTCAGGCACACAGAGGGCCCTCTCAGGCACACATAGGGCCTTCTCAGGCACACAGAGGGCCCTCTCAGGCAAACAGATGGCCCTCTCAGGTACACAGAGGGCCCTTTCAGGCACATAGAGGGCGCTCTCAGGTACACAGAGGGTCCTCTTAGACACACAGAGGGCCCTCTCAGGCACACATAGGGCTCTCTCAGGCACACAGAGGGTTCTCTGAGACACACAGGGGGTCCTCTCAGGCAAACAGAGGGCCGTCTCAGGTACACAGAGGGCCCTCTCAGGCACACATAGGGCCCTCTCAGGCACACATAGGGCCCTCTCAGGCACACATAGGGCCCTCTCAGGCACACAGAGGGCCCTCGCAGGCAAACAGAGGGCCCTCTCGGGTACACAGAGGGCCCTTTCAGGCACACAGAGGACCCTTTCAGGCAAACAGAGGGCCGTCTCAGGTACACAGAGGACCCTTTCAGGCACACAGAGGGCCCTCTCAAACACACAGAGGGCCCTCTCAGGTACTCAGGGGGGTCTCCCAGGCACACAAAGGGCCTTCTAAGACCAGCAGAGGGCCCTTAAGACGAACAGAAGGCCCTCTGAGGTACGAGGGTCAATGTCAGGCCACAAGGTACCCTATGAGGCCACCAGACGGCCCTCTTAGATCAAAGATGGTCCCTGGAGGTCACCAAAGGGCCTCTGAGGTGAACAAAGGGCCCTCTGAGATCGAAGAGATCAAAGAGATCAAAGAGGCGAATGGAGGGCCTTCAAAGGTCACAAAGTGCCCTCTGAGGCCACTGGAGGGCCTTCTGAGGTGATATGAGGCTATGTCAGACCACCATGAGCCCTATGAGGTCATCAGGCCCTCTGAGATCAAAGAGGGTCCTTGCCCCTTGGAAGTCATCGTAGGACCCCTTAAGGCTCATTGAGGCGAACAAAGGCCAGAGGGCCTCCTTAGACACCACAAAGAAGTAAAAAAGATCCCTCTGAGGTCAAAGACAGCTCTCTGAGATGTAATAGGGCCATTTGAGGCCTCCGAGGGCCCTCTGATGCCACAGAGACGCGCCCTCTGATGCCAAACTAGGGTCCTCTGAAGTCTAAATCCACCAGAGGGCCCTCTGAGGCGAACAGAGGGCCCTAACATCCACCTCAAAGAGGGCCCTCTGAAAATCAACTGGCCCTCGGAGTCAGTGCCCCAAATCGTATTTTGGCTTGGGTGTCAGAGGGGGAAAAGGTCACCCAAAAGAGGGATAAGAGTGGACAATTGTCAGTCACAGGGCAGTCGGAGCCCTCTGAGAAGGCCACTTGAGTCTTACAACAGAGGGCCCTCTGAGGTGATATGAAGGCTATGTCAGGCCACTATGGGCTCTATGAGGTCATCAGGCACTCTGAGGAAAAGGCTGGCCCTCTGAGGCGAACAGAGGGCCCTTGGACAATTAGAGGACTTTTTAGGTCAACTAGGGGCCTTATGAGGCCAGCAAAGGACCCTTTGGGACACAAACAAGGGCCTCTCAGGCACCCGGAGGGACCTCTTTTCTAAGGCAAACAGGGTGTCACCTTAGATGATATGAGGGCTATTTTAGGCCACTAGGGGCCTCATGTATTAGACCAACATACGGTCATTTGAAGTAAAAGAGAACCTTTTGAGGTAAAAAGGGCCCGTGGAGAGAAAACAGAGGGACCTTTCAGGTACCCAGAAGGTCCATGGAGGCCACTAGAGGACCCTTTGAGGCCAGTGATGGTCTTCAGAGGCCATCAGAGGGTCCCTCTGAGGGTAACAGAGGGTCCTTAACCCTATTCCTGGCGGGCTCCGCCGGGACAAGAAACTGGCGGGGGGGCCGATTCGGCCCCCCCTTCAGATCTCAAAAACTACACATCGCAGCGACAAACGGTAAACGGCATCGGATACGCACGGTCAAGATCTACAATTTTTACTAAGGTCATTTTCAGGTCAGGTCAAAGATGACGTCACAGGGGTCGAAAAAGTCAAAATGGCGGCGCTAGATATGGAGAGTTTTTCTCGAATAACTTTCGAATTAGTCAAGATAGGAACAAACTAAGGGCATCATCGTGATCCTCTCGTCAATCCGCATCGAATGATATATATGTTGACCTCGAAAGGTCAAGGTCAAAGGTTGACCTCAGGTCACGTGACCTCGAGGTCATCATGTATGTCATTCGATGCGTCTTGACGAGCTGAACACAATGAGACCATCCACGCGTCTGTATCTTGTTCCTGTACGGAGTTATTGGCCAAAAACCTTTGGTGACCTTTGATGACGTCACATGACCTCACAGCTGCCCAACAGCAAAACAGAC